TGGGTGAAGGAAGAAAGCAGATACAAGTCTGAGTAGCAGATATGGTGAGGCCTATTGCTTAGCATACCGCACAGTTGGGGCAGAGGATTGGAGAAATCAAGATATTTACCTAAGTTCTTTCTTTCTACTGGCTAGCATTTTCATTTCCAGAAGGTACTGTCCTTGCTACTGATAGAAGAAAAGTCATCCTAAGTATTATCCAGTGATGAACACTGTGAGCTACAACAACCATCCTGGTAAGATACTCCCATTGATGCAAACATTACATGATCTTGGAAGTGTTTGAGGGGGAAGAGTTATAACGATAATGCATGTGTACACATACGGAATTCTCAAAGAATGAAGGAAAGGAAACATAACATGCCACGCATATACAATATACTACTCAGTCATAGAAATAAGATGTCATCATTTAATATGCCAACTGACCCCAAACTCAATACATTAACTGAAATAATTCAAACATAGAAAAAATACTACATGATATCATGCCTATGTAGAATTGACACTCACAAAAAGCTGATTTCGTGGTAACTGAGGATTATCAGAGGGTGGAAAAGCTGCTTAACAGATGCAATGCTAGATGGGAGAAAAATATTCTCCTGCCTTATATAAAAATAGATTAAAGAGTAACCGATGAAAGTCCAAGGTCCTCCCCCCTCCATCCAGGTCTAGGAAGGTAAGCATCCAAACTGGCTAGGCTCCCACGAAGCCAGAACATGAAGTAGGATCAAAACCCAGTGCCATTGTCCCTGATTGCTCTTCGGACTGGAGAGGGAGGGGGAGAGGAGTGGGGGAGGGGGAGAGGAGTGGGAGGAGGGGGATGGAAATGAGAGCCTGGGAGGAGGCGGAATTTTTTTTCAATAAAAAAAAAAGAAAAAAGAATAACCGATGAGACATGAACTTGTAAACATAGATAGTCACAGAAAAAAGCTCTATACTATTGACCTGGGCCATGACATTTTTGAATGGGAGCAAAAAAACACAGTTGACAAAGCCAGATTAGAAAGAAGACCTGAAGGGCTCCAAACATAACACAATGACAATTACAATGTTTACACCGAATGGATTAATACAAATACATATGTACACCAAGTATGTAATTTTTATGCATTAATAAATATGCTGCGTGTATAAGAAGATAGGAATAGTCCTGTTTCTGTAACGTTAGTCCCAAGGGACAAACAGAAAATAGAACTCAGAGCTTGCTCACCAATGGATAAGAAAGCACTAAGCAATGGAGATTGTTTTTCCTAAAAAGGAAATTCTGTCTTTGGCAACATCATGAAAAAAAGCTAGAAAAATGAATGAGATTGCCTAGGTAAAGACAAACAAAAGCTGCCAGATCTCACATATGGCATCTGAGCACTTCGACCTCACAGAAGGACACAGGAATTTGCAGGTGGGAGTTTGGAGGGGGCATGAGTTAGTCAGGAGACAGGAATTTTAGTTTCAGTGGAAAATAGTAAGTTTCTGAAATCAGCTGCAAAGTAGCATAATTTAGTTCTCTTCCTTCGAAATATATGAGAAAAAAATCCAAATATCTCACCACAAAATGTAGTGCTCAGAACATCGTACTATGCCTTAGGATTGTATCTATTTATAAGCTATCAGGATGTTATATAAATAAATTTTAAGTTAAGAAATTAACCACTATGGGGGTTTTTGTTGTTGCCTGCATGTTATTTTAGTAACAATGAGAGTTCTTTTCTACTTAAATAAGCCCAGACCCCTGACATTCTTGAATTATATTTGGAAAATGTATGAGAAACAGTTTACTCATGTCTATGCCTTGGAATTAACTTGCTAAACTCTTTAACAAGAGCCTGAAACTAAGAGGAACTTCACAATATTAAAGGAACAATTTTAAAATTACTTACAAACATGCCATTTGCTAGAACATCCTTTGGTTAGAATACTCTGCTACAAACTTTCCCTAAGTATATGGTCCCCATGTGAGGCCTTAGTAAGAGCCAAACCTGATGTGTATCAGACACAGTCACTTTTCTGGGAAGAAAAGTGTTGTTGTCTTGTTAAGTTACGAGAAGGCTTAGCTTACAGAGTATGTACAACTCCATCTGCTCTCACAGACACCTTTGTAGCATTCAATCAAGCTGATGGCCTTCCAGGTATTGGTCTAAGCTGCAGTACTTTACTGCCACCTGGTGGCCACGCTGAGGTGGTTACAAGTCCTTCCAGGCTTTTATCCCGTTGAAGATGCTCTTCACAGTTACTGTAGCAGAGCAAAGAATGCATCTTACAGGTTAGACTGAGATGTTAATTTGTGTTGTAATTCACAATGGGTGGTGATTTTAGCATGTTGTGTTTAACTGTTTATGCAATTTTAAAAGAATGATGGCTTGAAGAAGAAGATAGAGGCTGAGATAAAAAAGAGTATCAAAACCTACTACAACACAATAGTTTGGATTAAATAAATACTTGAAGGTATAACATAATCCATACTTATGATGACATAAGAATATGTAGACGTTAGGGTTAGACATTTATCTTTAGTATTAAGGACTTAGAGAACACTTAAATTAACTTCTATTGTGTAAAAACATGCAGGATCAAATTTATAAAAAGAGAACAGGACTTATATTGTATAAAATGATTAAAGATTCCATATGTCAAAGAAATTAAGACATCTAGTATTTGGTACTAGGATGATGGCGTGGTCTCAATGTAGATATTTAAGGTACATAGACTAGGTTAGGACGACTGTCAGTCTAAGGTCATGGGTGGGTAAGATAAGAACAGGCAAGTCTGGAAGTGATTAGGAATGACAGGATAAAGTTATATTTTGAAATGAAAACATTTTGTCTTAGCCATAAGACTGAGAACTGATATGTTTAAAGGTTTCAAACAAAGTACCAAAGAGGAAAAATAATCATCTAGCGTCAGATGAGAGATAAGAGAGAATGTGAGAGACAAAGGAGCCAGGGGGGGGGGGGGAGGAAAGGGAGGAAGAGAAGGAAGGAGTGAGTGCAGGAGGGAGGAAGAGGCGAGGACCATGACCAGTGACTGCTGGAGTCAGGATTCTCAAGGCAGAAATGACTTTCTGCTCTGCAGTGGTGAGAGAAGAGAAGACAAGGACTCACAGAAGAAAACAACCTCACATTTCAATGCACGCTGTTCTCTTCTCCATCTTCAGAAATGTCTATGGAAAAAAATACCATCAAAGCCTTTGACCAGTTAGGTGCAGCATATTTTACAGACATGAGTTTCTGTTTGCTAGACTCAACTGTACTCTTACAAAACAGTCTTGTCTTTTGGAATTCTTTAGGAAAAGAATAATATTATGTTCTAGTGCGAACTTTAGAAAATTCTAGAGGAAAAACAGGACAGTGGCATGATAAAGACATTTTCTTTTCTTTTCTGACAATGTCTTTCTGGAGAAATTATCTGTGATGTAGTATGTAAAAAAGTTAACAAGACATTAGACTAAATGACACAAGACACGGAAGAATATTGTTTTTGAGTACTAAGTTATCTCCATGACTGACCTAGGCATTCATATTTGGGGATATTCCAGAAAAAGGAGAGCATAACCTATTTGGAATTATCCTGAACAGAGGACACAGAACTGAGAGGAAGGAGAGACAAAAATGGCTACTATGCAGAACCATGCTGATCAAAGGGCTCAACAGATTGTAGGTTGCTCTCCATGGAAGAGAGAAGTATGCACATGAAAAGATAACAGAGCCCAGGTCATACACAGGACGCCAATAGTGCCTACTTAAGATAAAAGATTCACTGTGTGACCTTAACGTGGGACTCATACTTTTCAAAGAGAGATTCATGAAGGTGATAGAGAAGCAGGAGCATTGGAAATGATCCTCCCTCGAGCTCTTTATGTTCCTGTATCAAGAACTTAACGTCATGGGAGTTGGCATCCTATGAAGGCAGAATACCTCCTTTTCCCTCAGGGCTCTTTGCTTCCAAATTCTGAAGATGAAATCTCATTTTCACTGCAGCCCTTCATGTGCCACCGAGTCGTCATGCTGGCACAGCTCGCAGGGCACTGACAAGTAAAAAGTCACTTTTCTCCCAGGCCAGATGTGACCAAGGAGGATAACACACGAGCGCCCGTGAGCCTGCTGACCCTCTTAGAAAATACGTGTACATGCACACAAATGAGTTATTATGACCTCGAGAGACATATTTTATATGTGTCCCAAAGAATAAACTGTGTCTTCAGAATTTAAGAAAAAAAAAGATCAGTGGGGTATTCATATTCTTCTGTGGAGAAAATTAGCATCATTGAAGACATGGTGCCATGTTAGATATGTATAGATCCTCTGTATCAAGGCTCACACCTTGATACAATGGGGCACAATGACACTCTCTTGTTATTCCAACTGCTTGGGAGTCTAAAGCAGGAGAATTTCAGGTTTGAGACCAGTCTGGGCATAAGGCCGACTGGGGCACACAGAAAGACTACATAACAGAAAGACATAAATAATGAAAGTTCCAATATTTCAAGAGGGATTTACAAAAGCTGGGCAGCAGAGATTGATTAGGAAGGCCACAGTGTTCTATAAACTGTTTAAATTTTAAAGTGATAATGGAATATAGAGAAATTTGATATGGGGAAGCCCTTGAGGTTTTATATAAATCAGGCCATCATTGAAAATGCTAAAGAGCTGATAAAAATACTGCCTGTCTTTGACCCATAGTGCAGATGTTCATTCTGCTTTACTAGTACTATAGAAGACACAGATCCAAGACACAAGCCAAGATGTTAAGGAACATTTTTTTTTATTTATTGGTAGTCATCAGAATTGATCCCAGGGTCCTCCAAACTGAGAGACTGTGATTTACCAGTGAGCGACATCTCCAGGCCAGAATAGTTTATATACGAATGAAAACATAGAAGGACTCCAGAGCCATCAACTTTGTCATCAAGAATCTGTGCAAGGAAAAGCAAAAGAAGGGGCAAAGAATAAGAAGGAAGTGGTTGTGCTGGTCAGGAATGGAAGATATCTAAATTCACTCACCTAACACCTTCCATCATGATAAAATTTAATTCTCCCACGAGACTTCCTAAAGGGAGGCATAATAATCATTTCATTAAGACATTTTACTTTGGGAAATTAAGAGACAGACCACAAAGGGAGCTGCTTAGATCAAAGGCCAGGGCATTTGCCACTGAAGAAACCGATGACCTTTGGGAACTAATCTGTCTGATTGGGCCTGAGTTTGTGATGTACGAGGTGTAAGTGCAGTCAGCTGTTTGTGCACCAGTCTCTCCCTGCACCTGGATTAGTAACTATGGGGGTGACTCGGGCTTTGTGGAGTCTCTTTTTCACAACCTGCATGTGATTACTAAAGGATTGCTAGAGGAAGGGCTCCAATCTGACACCTCAAGGAATGGTTTTCTTCTTTTAGACTCTCCTGCCTCATATACATCAAAGCTGAAATCACTATGGCATTACAATCTGGGTGCCGAATGACCAATTTCCGGTCATGTAAATCCAAGGATCTGAGTCATCCATCCCAGGCAATGAACCAACGTCTGCTGTTCTGCTAGTATAGTTGAAAGTTATAGACAAAGAAGCAGCAGAAAATATCTAACATAAGATGAAGGTAAAACTTTGTTCTGAAAATCAAAATGGTGAGAATTGGAGGTGTTTTAGAATTTCTACAGGGAATCTATCTAACATGGGAATATCAGGACTCAGAGAAAGAACTCAGCAGACGCTGTTCGGTTTAATGGATCCACCTTATACGCCAGTAGTCCTTCTGATACCATGGCTCTTCTAAGAAGGGGCTGTTTGCTGTCTCCGCAAATGGGAGAGGAAGACCAATTTCACGGCTACTGGATGCAGGGTGGATAGAAATCACAACCAACAAGCTTCGTCTTAGTTTTCTTCCCCACCCCCACAGAGCACTCACAAGCTCTCAAGACATAAGATGCAGGGGTTATCGTAGGTTACGAAATTGGTGCCACAGATGGGTTGCTTTAAGCCAGGACAAGGATCAACTGTTTTATTGAGCCAGCTCAAATTTACTTTCTTATAAGGACACTTGATCTGAAATTGAGCAGAAAAAGGTATAATTAGAACTATACTCAAAAAACAGGTTACTTGTGGACTGCACTAATGGCATCTAAGCAAGTCACAACCACATTCCAATGTCACCAGGCTCTCCCAGTATATCTGCATAAAACAATGACACTAGAATCTGTGCACATTCCCATTGATAAGTATCACGTTCTGTGGTCTGATAAGTATCATGTCTTGTGGTCAGGAGCTCCTACAGGCCTGGCAAGCTATAGTGAAGGAAAAGAAAACATCTAAATTCATGAAGGAAACAAAGCTTAAATCACAAATACATCAAAAGTGAAGGAATGCCCTGCAGGAAGTCTACAAAAGCACAAAAGAAGTAATCTTTAATTTATCCTTTCTTTTACTAATCAAACATTTGGTGGACCCACAATACACACAAGTTTGGGCAGGATAGACAAAAAGGAAAAAAAAACACCCTTCTGTTTGACTCAAACACAAGCTGCAGACATAATTTGAGCCTCTGCTCAGAGATTCCTGCACATTTTTCTGCTTCCAGAATCCAAGAGATTGCTGCATTCCATATTTTCAACCTAGAGAATGTGTTCTGTCCACTCTCTCTACAGAAGCGCAACTCTTCCAGAGCAGGGACTTTGTGGACACTCATGTCCATGGGTCTTAGAACTCCTCGTGGCTGGCAACTGGAAAGTGTTAGCATCCAGAAAGAGTTTTCAGACACCTTGGGATATTCTTGTCTCTGTCTTTGTCTCTCTGTCTCTGTCCTGTCTCTGTCTCTCTAACTCACTCTCTGTCTCTATCTCTCTGTCTCTGTCTGTCTGTCTGTCTGTCTGTTGTCTCTCTCTCTCTTTGTCTACATTTGGCTTGGTTCCCAGTTTAGATCACTCTACTGTAGACTAACGAATCGTGGACCTGTAGTCTTCATGTGAATAGACCTCAAAAAATGTCATAGGTTTAATTGTCATGGTAAACTTTTGAAATAATGTTTTTTTTTTAAAAAAACAAGATTCAATGAACAGGGGCAGTCTATTAACCTATGTATCCATGAGCATCAGTAGTTTGAGTTAGTGAATTTTGAAGAGAAAAACCAAAAACATTAGGAGGTTAGTAGGAGAAGTTAGAAAGGGAGCAGAAGTAGACGAAATGAAGACACATAATATACCTGTATGAAATTTTCAAAGAATAGATAAATAAAATTAAAAAACTAAAACATTTGATTCAGAGCCTGGAGCAATGGCTCAGTGTTTAAAAGTATTTGCTGCTCACTTGATGCTTGCAGAGGAACAGGGTTCAGTTTCCAGCACCTTCTGAAAGCTTACAATAATTGGTAACTCCAGCTCCAGAAGGTTCAGTGCACATTTCTGGCCCTTGTGGACACCTGGCAATGTACAATACGCTTACATAGAAACAGGGGAAACACTCATACACAATTTATTTTAAAAATCTTTGAAAAATTGTATTCAAATCTGAGTCCTAGAAAACCTAGTAGGCAATTACCTTAATAACTCCATGTGGTGGCCACCAAACTCGAGCACCTGGAACTAGGTAATACATAAATATGTTACAAACTTTAATTCCTGATAAATCATAGTCTAATCTACTGCCTGGAGAAAAAAAACTCCAATTCCTTACTATACAATTTTGAAGTAATTGAAAATAATATTTCTTTTATTTATTTTTTTCATCCCCTTTAAGATATGGACTGTCACTCTGCTCCTGTAAATCACCGGCAGAGGGGAACAGTACATCACTGCTTACAGAGGTTGCCCTCCCAGAATATCAAATGCTTTCCTTGATTAATACTTGCCAAGCTGGAGAGGATTGGTATAGTAGGCGGGAAAGGTCAGGACTTTATAATTTTTTTGGTTTGGATCCTGCATTTTGCAGGAAGGGAAATAATACCTTCTTAAGTCAATGCTCAGTAATTTGTGATAGGCATGTGAAAAACCCAGAATGCTATTCTCCTTGTGATTCTCTGCACAATCTCTGCTCTAGAGAGACCACAGAGATTCTGAACCATTGGGGATCCCTGGGAGGCATTTCAAGTATTTCTGAGGTGTGCTCTGCAATGAAGAGATACTGCTGGTCACTTCCACTAACTAACTACCTCCCCGAATATCAGCGTCTCCTTGGCCCTATGCACTAGGTACCCCAACATGCATATCATATACAGGAAAACCAAAACTTTAACTCTCTGGCCCAGAGTCTGACCCACTGTTTCTCTCAGCGTGTATGTGTGGACAAGCATGTATGCAGGTGTTTGTACCTATATTCATATGCATTTTCATTACAATCATTTTAATTCAAAGCATTTACTTGAAGATTACAATGTTAGCACCCACAAAACTTTGTATTTCTGATGGAAAAAGCGAAATTTCTTACCAGATAGAAGCACCGATTGTAGCATGATGAAGAACAAAAGTGACCACAGTACCTGGAAATATTTGACCATTTTTCCTTCTGGTACAGCCTTGCAATGCTGTTCTGAGATCCTGGCTCAGGACACCACCTTGTGCTACAATCACCCCGGGAGACATCATCAGAATATGCTAAAACAGCTGCTGAAAGACCAACCACTGCATACTCCACTTTAGCAGCCTGTTCCACACCACTTCAAGAATAAATACATGGGAAAAATTGAACTTCGACTAATAATCTAAAAGATCAAAAGAGTACAGTTATTGAGTGCAGTGATAGAGCTGTGAGTACTCAGGAAACTTAGGAGGAGCAGAAGTTACTATTCTGTGTGTACACTTATACTAGTTTAGTGTGGGGACATTTTTACATCTCTTGAAAAAGATACTCCTTAGCCCCAATTCCATTCACATTTATTTTTTGAAAAGATGCAAAACCAAAATGGGAGCACTAGAGATTTCTAGACATTACTGGAGAAATAGGGGGAAGGAAGTCTATATTCTCTCGTAAAGTAGAGGTGAGGTCTTTGAATCAAACAAGAGTAGTGACACAATAGCCAGACGTGACTGTGTCGAGAATCTTCTGACTGAATATTAAACTCGTCGGGAGTATTCTGGGATACTGAGAAGCAAGCAAGCAAGCAATTCTAATTTCCAAGACATACCTAACACTGTCTCTAGAGAATACTGTCTTTCCATGACAGTTGGATGTTTTTAGCAGTAGATCCAGGATTCCTGTCTTGCCTATGCTTGAGACAACTTAGGCACCAAGATCTTGCTAAGCCCCTAACTGTCTTACCCCTATCATCTTCTCTAATTCTTCAGGGATGGGGCAGCAATGGTAAAAGCCATCAGTTCAAATTACATCAGCTTCCCTCCTCTCCTTCCGTGCCCCATGCCATAGCTGACCCACCTTATAAGGAGGAGACTAAGTTAACAAGCTCCCCTTTGGCTGGTACCTCTGCTTTAAAGCTCAAGTGCTGGGGCCTCCTGAGAGGGCAGGAGCTGCGTAGGAAAAAGCACTCAGGCATTGTGTGCTGGTTCGAGCAGGCCTTGGTAGATCCAACGCGATTCTACTTAGGTCGAGGTCAGATCTCAGCAGGGGATGTTGAAAAGGACTTGACAGGAGAGAACTGATTCCAGGAAAGGGCAGCCAGGGTAGCGTGTAAATATGCGTACTATACTTAGAAAAAGCATAGCCAAACACAGTACACATTCCCCAACACTTAAGACTTTTCAGGGAGAATGAATAAAAACAAAACAAAACAAAACAAAACAACAACATCAAGTAGAGAAGGCTGTAGCACTGATTGGTGATGCAGAGATCCAGATGCCAGCAGCAGTGGGTACAGCCTTGTCCTATAGGCAACCTGAGCCTTTGCATTATTAATGGGGATGGTGTTAGCATGGTGGGGCTCCTTTGGCTGCCTAAGTTTTCTGCTTCTTCCTGGTTTTCTATGAAGAAGCTTTTGTTTTCTTCAAGGAAGGCAACACATACTCAGAGAATTCAGAAGATAAACTTAAAAAAGAAGCAGGCGTTGGTGGCACAAGCCTTTAATCCCAGCACTCAGGAGGCAGAGGCAGGTGGATCTCTTTGAGTCTGAGACCAGCCTGGTCTACAAGAGCTAGTTACAGCACAGGCTCCAAAGCTACAGAGAAACTCTCTCGAAAAACCAAGAAAAAAAAAAAGCAAAATGATGTGGAGTCTCACAAGTTAGAAAGAAGTGCTAAAAATGTTGACTTATCAATTCCACCTTAAAACTAAACTGATATACAAATAATGACTCATAATACATTTATGCCAATATTCAATCATGTTTTTGAATATACTTTCTTTTGCCTTTTGTCAATGAAAACTAAACTACCACATTTTCTTAGTTTCAAATAGTCATTTAAAACTTGCAGTTATATGCTTTAGGCCAAAGCCAAATGTGAACGGACATTGCATTAATATCTTTCACTTGTTGCTAATATGGTGATTTTGAGTCTTAATTGTTATTAAAATTCTGTAATAACAAATTTGTATCTGTTTTTGTTCATGCATCTCTTACTCCATTTTAATATTTTAATGTGCTTGCCTATAAATATATTGCAGATTCTGAAAAGAATCTGGGTCATCTAAAATATGACCAATTTCCATATGCAGAAATTTAGATTAAAGAAATAGAAAAGTCAATGGTGGACTATTGGGGGTGAGAAAGGGATTAGCAGGAAGGTGACAAGAGGGGGCAAAGAGACTGAATAGGATCTAAACACATAGTACACGAGTGAAGCTGTTGTAATGAAACCCATAGTTCTGTACAATAGCATTTCCAATGATGTTTTCATTTACTCTGTGTGTCATATTTACAATGTAGACCACTTTGACAAAGATGTACTAATCTGAGGTGAATGATTTATTCCCCAGTTCAGAAAGAAGAGGCACTCTACTGTTTATGAAGGGTTAACAGACGTAGTAACCGATCTGGCAACAGCATTTTACCAACAAGGGAAGTGATTTTCCTCTGCATTACAGAAATTTTCCTGTGCATTTATTTTGATGGTTTTTAACTATGGTTATTGATGCAGGGGTCATAGGGCCAGAGCCCCAAACTCATTCATTGTTAAAAATAATACTGAGGGGAGACAGGAAGGGGGAACCCCAAATGGACATTTCTCATCAACAAACGAAGCCTTCAGTTCCCAGGAAAGGGTCACATCTATTCAAATTCTTGGTCAAAGGGACCACATGGGAACTCACAAACAACCCAGGCTATTGTTTGCTCCCCACAAACCGATGCTCAGAACTACTGCTGAAGAGACTTACAGAAGGTGGAGAACTCAAGCTGGTGCCCACATAGAGCCTTCACCCCTCCTGACCAGTGCTCATGGTACTGGAAGGTACTTTGCCCCATTCCCGAGGGAGAAAGGTAAACAGTAATCCAGCTATAAACCCTTAGATCTACAATGGTGACCCCACTGCAAGATGTACTGGTGTAATACTGGCACAAAGCCTTTGGGACTAATCCACCCATTTCTGATTGTATTTAAGACCCACTTCATGAGATGGGACTTTCTGACTGATAGTGTTTGAGTAGCCTGAAACCTAAGACTAGAAAGGTCAGGGACCTTAAGGGACAGCAAAATACTACTTTCTGCTGGAGGGACAATAAAATGACTCCTAAAAACATCTGTGATACTCAGATTAGTGTCATCCTGAGCCATCATCAGAGATGTTTACCCATACAGTAGATGCAAACCAATTCAGAGACCCACTGCTGGATAAGGCCTAGAGAGTGATAGACCATCCTAAATGTAATGGCTTCATCAATCCCCTCTTGCAGAGCTCAGGGAAAACTGTGGAGGAGGCAGGAAGCTTTTCAGAGTCAGAAAAGGTGGAGGACACCAAGGAAACAAATACTCCTAAATGACAATAGGATAGTACAAATATAAACTCACAAAGAGTATGGTAGTATACACAGGACCCACACAGGCCTTGGCCAGATGGGGTCCCAGTGTTGAGAGGGAAAGTGGACATAAGCCCTCATCCTTAACCTAGAAGCTATCTTCAATTGATAACCACTTACAAATGAAAAATTAGTTTATTTCAGTAGAGTCTTGCTTCATGTACAAACCACTCCTTTTTTCTTGTTTTTAACTGAGTTACACCTTTCTCTCCACTCCTCTCCCTTCCTCCCTTCTCCCCTTCTACTCTCTCCCATGACCACCCTCCCCAGTTTACCCAGGGGATCTTGTCTTTTTCTTTCCTATGTAGATCCATGTATGTTTCTCTTTGTTGTCTAGGTTCTCTGGGGTTGTGGACTGTAGGCTGTTTTTCTTTGCTTTATATCCAAAAGCCACTTACGAGTGAGTACATATTATATTTATCTTTCTGGGTCTGGGTTACTACACTCAATATGTTTTTTTAATAGATCCATTCGCCTGCAAATTTAAAGATGTCATCACTTTTTACCATTGTGTAAATGTATTGCATTTTCTTTGTCCATTCTTTGGCATCTAGGTTGTTTCCAGGTTCCGGCTATTACAAATACTGCTGCTATGAACACTGTTGAGCACATGTTCATGTGGTATGATTGAGCATCATTTGGCTGGATACCCAAAAGTGGTATTGCTGGGTCTTGAGGTAGGTTGTTTTTTAATTTTCTGAGAAATAGCCATGCTGATTTCCAAACTGGTTGTACAAGTTTGCATTCCCACCAGCAATGAAGGAGAATTTCCCTTACTCCATATCCTCTCCTCCATAAGCTGTCATAGGTGTTTTTGATCTTAGTTCTTCTGACAAGTATAAGATGGAATCTCAGAGTGGTTTTGATTTGCATTTCTCTAATGGCTAAGAATGTTGAAAATTTTCTTAAGTGTCTTTCAGCCATTTGAGATTTGTCTGTTGAGAGTTCTCTGTTAAGGTCTGTACCCCATTTTTTATTGTATTTTTTATATCAAGTTTCTTGACTTCTATATATATTTTGGAGATCATTTCTCTGCCTGATGTGGGGTTGGTGAAGGTCTTTTCCCATTCTGTAGGCTGCTGTTTTGTCTTACTGACTATGTCCTTTGCCTTACATAAGCTTCTCAGTTTTGGGAGGTCCCATTTATTGTTTATCTCAGTCTCAGTGTCTGTGCTACTGGGGTTATATTTAGGAAGTGGTTTCCTATGCCAAGTGTACTTCCTACTTTCTCTGCTATGAAACACACAGGAGGACCAATGGAATCAAATTGAAGACCGGATATCAATCCACACACCTACAGACACCTGATTTTTGACAAAGAAGCTAAAAATATAAAATGGGAAAAAGAAAGCATATTCAACAAATAGTGCTGACATAACTGAATATCAACATGTAGAAGAATGCAAATAGACTCATATCTAGCACCAAGCACAAAACTCAGGTCCAAATAAATCAATTACCTCAACATAAAGCCAAACCACACTGAACCTCATAGAAGAGAAAGTACAAACCACTTTTAAGACCAGGTTCAATGCCCATCAGTAGATGACATACACAAAATGAACTCAATGGCACTTTTGGAGGTACTTTGT